GTTTAATCAGGACAGTCTCTTCAGGTATTGTGGATCCCACTTCTACCCTCTCATTTTGTCCGCTTGATGCTCTGAATTTGTTACAGAATTTAGAATGTGATGCATGTAATTAAATAAACATAATGCTGAGGCCATTAACTAGCACAAATCATCCTTTAATTTCCTGAGAAATTAATTCAAACCCAAACTTTTCTCAAACCATTCTAGGAGATTTCTGAGACTGAATTTAGAGAACTCTAGTTTAGGTGAAGTATTATGAAAAAGTAAGAATTCTTTGGTTTTGCTAGAGAAATATTATACTTGTGTAAGTAAAAACACCCAGTGCCCCACTTGTCCATGTCAAAGTTCACTGTGGCTTACTGAACTGCCTGTCTTTAGTGTAGCCCTATAAACTGGTTATTGGTGCCATAAAGATTCGCCTTGGAGAGGTTGTTTATCATACTGTTAAAGCTTTCAACTACTGGAGAGACTGGTTTGGTTGGGTCTGTCTCAAGTTTGAAAAGAGATTGTCAGTGTAAAATCTGTCATGACTAAATAATGTGGAAGTAGTTAGCATTGTAGCACATGCCACGTTTTAACTCTAGAATAGGGAAGTTGAATATAAAATGGTGTGATTTGCTTTTGTCTAAGTATTGTTTTGTGTTTTACTTTTTATGTATTTTATCTGTGGAAGTGTCTCAAATCCAGCATATTTGGTAGACCTTAACCTTAAGACCCTTACACTGCATCTTAATGTTCCTCGTTGAAATGTTTTCATAAGCATGTAACTGTCCGAAACCAAATCATTTTGCCTCCTTCAGTGGAAATCTTAGGAGATTATTGATAGTATTTCAGAATTTTGTTCCTCAAAAGATGGTTTTATTAGTTTGCTATAAGGCAGTGGGTGGGGCACACTATCTAAAATAAGGATTCTCAACGGCCGCACAAGGGTGCAAGTCCAACCCTTTCGCGTCTCTGCCCCGCCCCCAGTCTCAGCATGGCTTCTTCTGAATGTTCTTAGTCACTAGACTTCAGTTAGTCTTCAGGTGGTTATCCAGGTTGATTGTTTATAATTTACTTGTAATTTTGCTGTGGTCTTGGAAGAAGATGAGTGTAACTACCACCTACTTTGTCACCATCTTGGAGCCCCTATAAATTTTAAAAATTTTTAACTTTTTGACTTTTATGTAGTAACTCTTTGCTTAAAACACAAACATTGTACAACTGTACAGAAATCTTTTTTTATATTCTTATTCTATATGCTTTATTCTACTTTAAAATTTATTTATTTATTTTTTTACTTTTTAAACTCTTTTGTTAAAACGAGGACAAACGCACACATTAGCTAGTTTATGGAGGGTCAGGATCATCAGCACACTGTCTTCCGCTCCACATCTCACCCCACTGGAAGGTCTTTAGCAACACACCTGTGGAGCTGACCTCTGTGACAGAATGCCTTTTTCTGAATACCTTCTTCAGCACCTGCCCGAGGCCCTTCTCCAGGTGTCCCTCTGTTAAGGCGCATACCATGGTGGTTTGCTTGTTTTTTGTTTTTGTTGTTACTGTTTTAACATTAGATTGGCTTGTAAGCAGATAATGCACCATAAACATTCCTCTCTATCAGTAGAAACCTTTTGGTGTTGGGGGTCTATGTTTTCAAACTTTTCAAGGAGCTTATTGAGGTCTGCAGAAGCTTCTACCAAGTCCTTTCCTGTGAATTTTCTTGGGCTTTTTCTTATGGGACCACCATCGTATATGTGGTTTGTCATTGGCATGACTGTATTTTATTTTATTTTATTTTATATTGGGGGGGTGGTCTGGCCCACAACCTGGGCATGTGCCCTGACCAGGAATCGAACCAGCTACCTCTTGGGTCGACGCTCAAGCACTAAGCCACACTGGCCGGGCTGGCATAACTGTATTTTAATTTTGAGTTTGTGTTCACATTTCCAACTCAAAGTTGACATTAACTTAGTTTTTGATTACTATATTCTGGAAGTTACTTCATATCAGTAGGTAAAAATACTTCCTTTTTTTTTTTTTTTTTTTTTAAGGCCAAACAGCAATACCCTCTGTGCAGATGTATTATAGTTTATTCAGTCAATTCCCTATTAACATTTGGGTTTCTAATACACATATTTGCTTATTTTTAAAGTAACCTTTCAAAATGTTTGAACTATTCAGTGTGTTCTTAATGCATAAAATCCAAGTTCTGTACTATGGCCTCCAGCGCCTGGCTTTTGTGTAACTCTGCATGCCGTCCTTTTTGCTCACTACAATCACATGTTCCGATTCAGATGTGACCTCCTCAGATCTTCTCACCACCCTATTCAGTGTAATTTCTTTCCTCTCATTGCTATTGCATGACTCTCTATTCCCTTACTAGCAGTTAAAAGCAATGTGATGTTACCTTGTCTTAAAACGTGGGCAGTGTCATATAGTGGCGAAGAGCTTTGGTTTTGAGCCAAACCACCTGACTTTGAGTCCTGGTTATGGACCTTGTACATGTTAGTTAGCAGTCTGGCTGAGTTTCTTCATCAAAATATGGGGATAATAATAGTATTTTCCTTATAGGGGTCTATGAGAAATGAATGACTAATAAATATAAACACTTGTGCAGTTGCCAGCACTTAGTAAGTGTAAAATAAATGCTGACTGTGTTAACATTATTGAACTGTCCTTTGTCTTTCTCCCTTCAGTACACTCTGTGACAGCAAGGACATTGTCTCACTGTCCCCCAGTGTAATCCCAGGAGTCAGAGCAGTTTCTGAGATATAGTCACACTTACATATTTGCTGCTGAACGGATAATATTAAAATTCAATTCCCATTCCTTTGCAACATTCTTGGAAATCTGACACTATAAGAGTCTTATATACATTCATCTTATGCAATGTCAAATTCAGCAGATATTGTCATCAAATTCTGCATGTAAATATGAAAGCCTATTATGAATGTGTATCTTGGAAATTCTGGCCAATTATTAGAATTAGGAAAAAACTCAGAAATGATTTCTGTCAGAAAGGATAGAATTACCATTATCTCCTTTGACACAGTTATGTATCCATGAAATCCAAAAAGACCAACTGAAATTCTTCTAAAATTGCAGAGAGTTTAGTAAATGATTGTATTTGAGCTATACATAAGTTATTTTCTAGCATATCAGTAATTACCAGTTAAGGCTATGATTGAAGAAAAATATTATTCTACAAGATCAGCCAAAAAAGGTAATATACCTAGTAAGATTTCTAACTAGACATATGTAGAGTGTGTGTTCATAAAGAAAATTAGAAAATGTTGCTGAAAAATATAAAAGGTTTAGAAAAATGACATGCCCTGTTTCCAGGTGGAAATATTGTAGAAATTTAAATTCTTCCAAATATATAATTTTAATGTTAATATATTAAAATATATAAATATGTTACATTATTACCAACCAAACTCATTTGTATTTTTTTGTAAATCTTGTCAAAATTATTTTTAAGTTTATGTAGAAAATGTTTGAGAGTGGACACTTTAACCAAGATTTGTAACACACAATCTACTATCAAAAACGGGAGAATAAAAGTCATATCAGTCCAATAATTTTTAATATCGTAATATGAAATGTGGGACATACTTCTATAGTTACCGAAGTGTGCTATGCATGTCTCACGAGCAGATAAATTAGCACATCATTTAATTTTATAGCAAGGAGTCTCAATACCAGAGAGGTCGTTAACCCAGAGTTTCAGAGCATGTCAGAGATAGCATCAAAATTAAACTGATGATTCTAAGTAAATTTTAAAAATTGATATAGAAAAAATAAATTTACCATTTAATCTGTGTATAGTCTAGGATGACTACCTTGTCTCAGTTTGGCCAGGACTTTCCTGGTTTTAGCACTTAAAGTCTCCTGTCTCAGGAAAGCTCTCAGTTATGGGCAAACCAGTTACAGTGAATTACCCCTGTACAGTACAGTTCATAGAAAAGATGCTGATGTCTGTAAATAGTGTTTCACATTAAATGAAAAGAAATACATGTCAAATGTTTGATCTGGTCTGGAGTAAACCATTTAGTGGTCCATCTAGGATACAAGTTACTCTTGGCAACAGGATTTCTGTAGGAGGCTTCATCAGTTCAGGGGATTTAAGATTTGAGTTCACTCAAGAATCTACAGTAGGATTCAGTAAGACTTCTAGTAATCATCTGCAGACTGAGTAGGAGGATTGAGGCCATGTGGCTTAGCCTTCTATCCAGCAACTAATCTCTGAGCTTATGATATTTACTGTATGTTGAATTTTAGAGTAATTTACCCTGTAAGCTGCACTTAGGGATTTGTTTACATTTAAATCTTTCACTGTTGTCTTTCAAATAGTCAGTGTAAATATTTTACTGTGTATTAATTTACTTATATCTTGCCTTGATCTACAAAGGATTTACAATTATATATTTAGTATACTCTCAATGAACGTTAATAGAAGATACGATTTTTTTTTGATGTGTGTATGTTTTGTATTTATATAGCAGTTATTTTGACAAGTGTGTTCTGTATCACAATGAGATTGTCCTCTTTATAAAATGAAAAAGAGGGAGGATTTTTTTGTATGTTTTACTTTCCAGGTTATAATTGCCATGAAAATTTCTAACCACCAAATAACTATTTTTAGAAATTGACCAGAAAGGAAAATCACACTTCTCACTTATTATGAAAATCTCCAAAGTAATATATTAGAGTAAAACTCAAGTACCACTTGTAATCCTGTAGCATCCATAGGCATGCATTAGGAAAATGGCTTGTTTACCACTCATGGATAACAATTTTTAAATTTTCTCACAATTCCATCAGGTAAGATCACAGACTGGTAACAAGACAGTGCAAGATTGTGATGTTATGCTGAAAATGTTCTACAGAATATAAAGTGTATTTTTCATAGTTTATTTTGCTGTCAGCCTGTCGAGATCTCCATTTCTTTTCCTACTAAGTGAAAATGTAATCTCTTGCTACAACTAAAATATTTTCTCTTTGTCACTATTTTTTAGTGTCTAAAAAGCACGGCAAGCTCATTACTTTCTTACGCACATTCATGAAGTCTCGTCCAACGAAACAGAAGCTGAAGCAGCGGGGGATCTTGAAGGAGAGGGTGTTTGGTTGTGACCTAGGAGAGCACCTTCTGAATTCTGGTTTTGAAGGTAAAAATAAAATTTATAATCTTATAATTTTAGTTTCTAACCTCTTCATATTGATTTTTTTGTAACCAATTATGCGGTAGATTAGGCAAGTAATATCTGTCCCATTCAAGTTCAGCAGAGTGTATTAAACATTCTCAGGTCCTTAATTATGGTGGAGTATTACATGTTGTAAAGACTTTGTGGATTTTTTCTTAGTTTTCCTGATTTTTTAATTAAAAAGAAGAAAAAAATACTAGAAGAATATTGTAAATTAATTTAATGGTCTTAGAAGAGAACACTGTGCTATAGGCTGATCCAAAGGAAAAAGTCTGTTCAAGTGATTAGAAAAACAAAAAAGAAGTTAATTGGTGACATTAGAGTGTAATTATAATTTGATAAACTTTGAAGACTGAGGTCAGATATATTCTGGTTGGCATATTAAAATAATATTGGGGATGATAAAAATGAAGAAAAAATATTAATATGAGGGATACCTTTTGAATATTCAAATAAGGACTCAACAGAAAAAGGGAAACCGAAGTTTATCAACTAAAATTTTAATTAGGAAAGAAAATGGTCTTTAATATTAAATTGATTTATTAGTTTGTCTTTGATTTAATAAGTGTATGAGGAATTAAAGTTTTTTTTTTTAACATTTTGACACTTTATATATACTGTATATAGTCTATAACTAGTCATACCGGGTGTATGTGTGTGTATACACACATACATATATAAATAGAACTGTTTCAAAGCCTAAATTAAAACAAGTTGAAGTATATAATATTTTTAAGTCTAAGTGAAAACAATTAGAATAATAATCCTGAGAGAGAAGAAGGATATATTGGCTATATGTATAAAATTGTGAGGAGAGAGGAGATATAGGTATAGATAGATATATAATGTGTATAGTTATTCTTCCGCATGGTTATCCTATGTTAGTTGGGACTTCAAAATATAAATATATTAAATACATTTTGCATCATATTTTTCTAAGGAGGCCCATATCAGTGTAATGTTTTGCTAGGTGACTCATTCTCTGAATTGTGTTTCTAGTGAACAATCATCTTTAAGAGAGATTATCCTGTTAACACTTTCTGAATTTTCGAGCACCTCCCTGTTGGGTCAAGAGAAAAACCTGACCTATTTCTTCTATACAGAGTGTTGTAAGAATTTGTGTAGGAGCCTGACCAGGCATTTTAAAAATTCTTTTGTGATCCCTGGTGCCAGAATTCACTCAGGGTGATCTTACAGTTTCAGCTAGCACAAACCACAGTGCTTATAATTGAGCTGATTAAAAGTTACGTCACAGTTATTTACAGAACTCATTTTTTTGTTAATCTCCCCACATGGTATCTTTCTTGGATAGGTCAAACTAATTTGCCATTTACTTGGACATTCTTAATTACAGTCAAATGTTTTTTGTTTCTTTTTCTTTTTGTATATCTATTTTCCTTTTTGTATTTCTTTTGCAATTTTGATCAGCCTTGCTTAAATGTGATGATTAATAGAGGGAGTGTTTTTCAGTTTGCTTGCCATGCTCATTTGCTTTCACACATCAATTCAGCAAGTTTTAGTTGTACTTAGAAGTTTCTGGTGTGTTTCCATTCTTAAGTATGATAGGAGAGAATGGATGTCAAGATTTAAAAAACAAACAAACAGGTTTAGTAACTACAGTGTTCATGCATTCCATAACTATGATAAAACGAGTTTTCAAATGTCACCGATTTTTTTTCCCTGTATTGATTTTAAAGAGAGAGAGGAAGGGAGAGGGAGAGGGAGAGAGAGAAAGAAACATCGAAGAGCAAGAACATCAGTTGGCCGCTTCCTGCATGCCCCCCACTGGGGATCGGGCCCACAACCTGGGCATGTGCCCTAACTAGGAATCTAACTAAGGACCTCTTGGTGCATGGGTCGACGCTTAACCACTGAGCAACACCAAGGACATTTTTCCATTTTTTCAGACAGAGAGGGAGGGAGAGAGAGGAAGTGAGAGAGAGAAACATCGACGTGAAAGGGACACATCGAGTGGCTGCCACCCGCACGACCAACCAGGGCCGGGGACAAACCGCAAGGAAGGTGCATGCCCTTAGCGGGAACCAAACCCAGTTCTCTCTGGACCGCAGGCCGACGCTCTAACCGCTGAGCCAAACTGGCCAGGGCAGGACTTGTTTATTTGTTGCAGATATTTGAAACTGAATTTCCTTAAAATGAAATTTCAAATGAGATTGCTTTAAAAAAAAAAAAAAAAAAAAAAAAGCAAGGACTTAGTAGGAAACTACATAGATAAAACTGTATTTGGCACAAAATATAAAATATATTTTAAAACTGAAGTTGAGGAAACTCTGCAACCTGAACTTATTTCTGTGTTTGAGGTTTTTTGAACTATTCTTTTTATAATAGTTAAAAAACAAACAGGGATTTTATAATCAGAGCTCAATAGCAAGAAAACAAGGCTCAAATAACCTCTGAAATTTATCCTTTAATCATATTTTCCTAATCAAAAATTACAGTGTACATTCTAATAACACTATACCAAGGTACTCCTGGCCTGGAAGCCACCACCCTGAGAATGAAACTTGACTTTTTTACTTGTGTTAAAGAAGGCTCAGTTTCCTCTCTGTAAACTGGAGGTGGTGATAGAACTTTTCCCATAGGGTTTCTGTGAGAGTTAAGTGAGGGTATCCATTATAAAACACTTAGCCTGGAACATACTACATGTTCAATAATATAGCTGCTTAACGAATTCATTTAGAGCTAAGGAGTTTACATTTTAACTGTAAGTTATAGGACTTGACCATTTTAAAAGTGGAATGCAGGAAGGACAACAACAAGCAGGAAAACCAAGGAAGAGTCTGTAGAAATAATAAATGACTGATTTACAGCAAGTCCTGGAATAACCTCATGTCTTTCAGCATCATTTTGTTACAATGTTGGTGAGATGCTGCCACAGGAACCTAACTCTTGTTTCTATCAATCAGCCTCTGGTAAAATTGGTTTCATTTTATGTCATTTCACTTAAAGCAGAACCCTTACCAGCACTAAGTAAGTACTTACTATATACTATAAGTGAAATGCATTAGCTAAAATTATCTTATTAAATATCACTTCATTCACCATTCTGTGTATTTCATCCCTGGTATAGTAGTAGTTTGCAGACCAAATAATATTTGTCTAAGGACTTCTTTTCAGGGATTTTCACTAATACTATCAAATGAACAGTTACTAAAAATGTATCAGTCTGTATTGCAAAACAAAGTTCAAATTTCAGTTATTGTACATTTTTGAATGGTCATAACAATTTTTATTATATAGTTTGAATGTTCTTTTCTAGACTATAGGCCCCGAATAGTTGCCCATTTCTGTCAGATATTCAGTGAAGTAACTGGAGAGAGTACCTTCTTTTCTTTCAATTTATTGTCAGAGTGCTCTTTATAATGAGTTGATAACATTAAGTCACAAGGTCAGTAATTATAATGTAAAGATAGTCAGGAAATTAAGATTTTTATCTACTTGAAATTGCCTTGACCTTTGCATTATGTTGGTGTTTTATTTATTGGATAAAATTAGAATTAGCATTAACTATGAAAAAATAAAAGAAACTTTTAAAAGTGAAAAATTATAGCACTTACAGGCAACTATCTTATTGGGATACACATGTAACCTTTTTTTTTTTAATCCTCTCCTGAGGACATTTTTCTATTTTTGTTCAGATAGAGTGGGAGGGAGGGAGAGGAAGAGAGAGAGAGAGAGAGAGAGAGAGAAACACCGACGTGAAAGGAACACACTGAGTGGCTGCCTCCTGCACAACCCCAACTGAGGCCGGGGACAAACTGCAACCGAGGTACATGCCCTTAGTGGGAACCGAACCCGGGTCTTTCTAGATGGTGGGCCGACGCTCTAACCACTGAGCCAAACCGGCCAGGGCCACATTTAACTTTTTATATCCATTTGCTATATATGAAATTCAGCTATGTGTTTTTTTTGTTTTGTTTTTTTTCTTAATCTGGTATGGTGTTAGGACTGACCAGTTCACTTTACTGTTACAACATGACCTAAATGAGCCTATGTAGAAGACCTCCCTAATGCCGCGACCCTCTAATATAGTTCCTCATGTTATGGTGACCCCCATCCATAACATTATTTTCGTTGCTACTTCATAACTGTAATTTTGCTACTGGTATGTCGTAGGCGACTCCTATGAAAGGGTCGTTCAACCCCCAACAGGGTCGTGACCCACAGGTTGAGAACTGCTGCCTTAGAGAGACTGTCTTAATAATGTATGGACTCTTTCACTTACCTGAAGGGAACGAGATAGAGCCAATCTTGATTATTCAGGAAGTAGTTATCTGTTGAGATGTGAAATTAAGTAAACATGCCCTCATCATTTTTTGTAGTAGATTAACTTCATCCCTTATAACTTTCATTTGTGAATTTTATTTTGCTGATGAGAACTAAAATAGTCACATTTTTTGATGACTCTGTTTTAGCTGACTACTCTCAATTTAATCCATGTCTTTAAAATTTTTTCTTTAGTACCCCAGGTTCTTCAAAGCTGTACAGCATTCATTGAGAGATATGGCATTGTGGATGGAATATATCGTCTCTCTGGCGTTGCCTCCAATATCCAGAGACTACGGTAAAACCTTATGTGGCAATTTCTTTTTTATTTCTATTGTAATTCATTAAAATGAAATCATTTCAGAATTAAATCTCTTACATTGATAACCATAATTTAATAAGATAGTTTAGAAAAAAGTAGGAAATAATAAGCATTGTTCGCTGTGTACATTTTCTTAAATGCCATTTATAGTCTCAGAAAATGATGTACGCTTAACCTCTTCAGTATTGTCTGTTGTCTCTTTCTAATGTTTGAAGTATTTAGCAAATTGAATTTGAACCCATGACAACCATGGCAGATGAAATTTACATTATAATAGAATTATTCTTTAGTTATTAATTAAAATTAATGAGAGAAACTTTTTCTAATCTCCTTTGATACTAGTTAGTATGTGCTCAAGTATGCATATGTTACGTATTTCACATTCTCTTTCATTGTCTTCTCAGACAGAAAGCATGGTATACTACTCTAACAATAGAAATTTTGGTTTTACTCAATCTCTTAGATTCTATTCCATTCCTAATGTGTTATTTTTCTTTAATTTTTACTGTGGTGCGGGGAAATTGCCATTACTCTGTAGGGGTTATAATAGTCTAATTGACTGCAGAACTCATTGCTGTTTTCAGGACTACGTATTGGAAGATACTTCAACTGATCCTTATACTAAAGACAGTTTCAGTCTTGACTTTCACATGCAGCAAATCTCATATTCACTAATAAATCCACATACACTAATCCTCTGGGTCGATAAGTGGCCTCGTGCCTGTAGATTAATATTAATTAACCTCCTGGAGAGTGAGCTTAATCTGTTTTAGCATTCTGAGCACAACTTTTATTCACTTCAGTGTTATAGATTTTATCGTATATTAAAATTTGGTGTTAGCTGGGAATTGGTTTATATTGTTTCTGGCTTTCTTATTCCTCTTTAATAAAGCATTCCTGAACCATACTTCTTGTATCTGAGGGATGTCTATGCATAGTTGTTCATGGACCAGCTGCCATTCAATCCTAGTTTCCAGAATTGCCAAAATATCAGATATTCAAACCATTAGGAATTGAGTCTATGTATTAAGAGCTGCTCACTCATGCATTTCAGAGATTGTTGTCCATTTTGATATTAAAGCCATGCCCTTCATTTTCACATAGAAAAGCAGCTGTCTTATGATCAGACATCCAATTACTGTGGAAGTCCAAATATAATCATTTGGACAAAACATAATTCACCGAGGTAGAGGGTAACAGTTTGGGCCTATGCTTTGTGTTTTAAAGTCATATTCTTGCTTTTCCCTTAATAAAATAATTCTGTAACTCTGTTGTCTTTGTTAGCCATGAATTTGATTCTGAACATGTCCCCGACTTGACAAAAGAACCGTATGTTCAAGACATCCATTCTGTAGGTTCTCTCTGTAAGCTGTATTTTCGAGAGCTCCCAAACCCTCTGCTCACCTACCAGCTGTATGAGAAATTTTCAGTGAGTACAAGTCATTTTCAGTCAAGTCCTGTTTGGAGTTTTATTCAAGATGTGTAAAAATTGTTTTGGTCATGTAAGAAATAATTCAATGCCTAAAATGACTCCTCTAAAGGAAAGAAAAAAAACAGACAGTCATTGCTAGGTAGTTCATAGTCTTCACTGATTTCACATTTTCATTTTTTTAATTTCTGACTTTGAGCCATTACTCTTATCATATTTAATATTAATTACCATAAAGTTTTTAAAAAATTATCTTTTAATAGATTTCAATGTCCACATAGTGTGGGAAAATTTTACTTCCTTGATAATACGTGATGTTTCCTCATCATTCAACTTCACAGAATAGATAGAATGATTTATTCGAGAGTGAAGACTGAATTGTAAGTGAAGAACTTTGATTTTTACTAACAAAGTCCACTGGTTTATTTAACATTATGGTTACAGGATGCTGTTTCAGCAGCAACAGATGAAGAAAGGCTGATAAAGATTCATGATGTCATCCAGCAGCTGCCCCCTCCACACTACAGGTAAACCACATGCAAAATTCCAGTCAAGTGCTTTTATTCTGTGGGCTTCTAACTAAAGTTTCTTGGAGTTCCAAATATTTAAACTTCCTTTTGTCCATGCATTTATATTTGTTTGTTTGTGTATCCCAAGGGCCTGGCACAGTGCTTGGCATCCAGTAGGCATTTTATAAATGCCGAATAAATGAATACCTGAATGTGTAACTGGATGGTTGACTAAACCTGTTTGTGTGTGTTTGCTTGTTCTGAGACACTTAGAAATATTGCTGAAGGTACTAGGTGTATGACCACATGTGTGTATTACTTTACTTCTGAATTGCTTTAATTCAAAATATGGACACATTGCTGGGTGCCTGTTTACTTGTTTCCTTTTTCCAAACCTCCTTTGTTTTTTTAAATGTATCCAAGCCACCTAGAACCACAAAATCTAGCAATTGTCTCAGAATTCTTCCTGCATGTGATTCGCAGGTGGTCTATAAACCTGTTTTTTGTTTTGATTTATTTTAGGTTTTGTTATTGGTTTTGTTGTTGGTGGTACTTTTTAAAACCCAGTTTAATTTATATGTTAGTTTGGACTCTCAAATATTTTTTCCTTCTATTTGCTTTATATCTATCTACATCTTTCTCTCTCTCTCTCTCTTTCTCTAGATGTCTGGATAGATAGGTATAGATATATAATATTATGTAGATTATATAATATGTTAAATATATTATCTAATATAGTATATATTATATATATTACTATATATTTTAAAGGTTTGAAAGAAAGCAAACTTAGAATGTGTAAGATAAGCCAGGATAATTAGAATTTGGAGTAGGCTTTCTATTCCAAAAGCACATATTTGCTCAAATATTCTCCCCTTGGTTCCCGATGAAATTTACATTTTTAACTCTTTATAGGCTTGTGAAATGTTGTTTTCTTGTATAGAAGAAAAGTGTAAATTCTCTCCTGTTAGCGTGTCTGCTGCAAGTAGAATAGCATAACTTCACGAAACCATTTGTCTAGACTCTGGAGCTGAGGATTCATTTCATTGGTGTCTTAAAACTAGGTATGTGACAGCCAGGAGCAAATGTTCCTAAAGATTGTTTATAAAGTAAGGCTGTTTTTCGCAGAACCAGTCCTGTTAGAAACTTTTTTTCTTGCCTAAGACTTTTTCCTAGTATTCTGTAGATGTGATTATTATTCATAGAATATAAAATTCATAATATTCTTCTGACAGTTCTGTAGTACTAATATGCAAACCTAGCAAGCAGCACAAAATTTGCTGGGGTTTGTGTCGCTCTTTTTCCATGTTGCCATTGAAAACTTACAAATTAATTAGTGGAGCTTTTATGCTCTACAGTGCTACATAATGGTTTGTTACTGTGGTTGTTGTTAATATGTTGTATTTCATTTTCCAGAACACTGGAGTTTCTAATGAGACACTTGTCACTTCTAGCTGACTATTGTTCCATCACAAATATGCATGCAAAAAACCTAGCAATTGTTTGGGCTCCAAACCTGCTCAGGTAAGTTGCATTTGACTGTGACCTTAAGCAGAACTAATCATCTTAGAAAGTCTAATTCATCAGTGTTCCTTAAGGAAAATGGTTTTTGTTGTTGTTGTTGTTGTTAATTTTTACTCAAGGATATTTTTCCATTGATTTTTGGATAGAGTGGGAGGGAGGGAGGAGGGAGAGAGAGAGAGAGAGAGAGAGAGAGAGAAAAACATCCATGTGAGAGAGACACATTGGTTGGTTGACTCCTGCTCGACTCTGACTAGGGCTGGGGATCAAACCTGCAACCCAGGTACATATCCTTGACTGGGAATGGAACCTGCAACCCTTCGGTCCATGGGCCATCACTCTAAACATTGAGTCAAATTGGCTAGGGCCTTAAGGACAATTTTTAAAAGTAAAACAAATCTGTTGTGTTTATGAGTATCTCCCCAAAACAGGCCTTTGGCACTTAGCCAAAGCACTGTGAAAGTGTTCCTTCTTTCTCTTGTTGGTCTGTGATTTACATGTTAAGAAAAAATAAATAAATAAAGCCCTTTTAGACTGCTATGTCTGTTATCTCTGATGGTAATATTGTCTACCCCACAGATCAAAACAGATAGAATCTGCCTGCTTCAGTGGAACAGCGGCTTTCATGGAAGTGAGGATTCAGTCTGTGGTCGTCGAGTTCATCCTCAATCATGTGGATGTCCTCTTCAGTGGGAAAATCAGCGCAGTCATTCAGGAAGGGGCAGGTGCGGCTCACACAGAGTGTTTACTGCCAAGAGCAGGCATCTAAACCTCTAAAGCAATGGACACCTGCATTGCTTATCTCAGTTTAATGACCCTGTCTTTGGTAGAAAACAGCTAATTTATGTCCGTTTTCCAAAAATGTACCATTTAACAGTTATTTTGTGTGTACTTAATGAATACTGCATATTAGACCTTTTGTGGTCTAAGGTCATGACACATTAAAAATTTTATCATCTTACTTATTATTGGTGTAATATTGGTGGTATATAAAGGTGTAATATTATGAAGCAGCAGCAGAAAAATTCCTTCCAAAACTAAAAATACCTGCACAGTACCAGGCAAGGCCTTAAGAAAGGAAAATAGTTAAATTACTTAGGAATTCTAAGTGTGTGTGTGTGTGTGTGTGATCATTAACCTGGCATGTCACCTTCTAGTCCTCACTTAGTATAAAGTCCTATTATTTTTGCCATTTAAAAAACTTAAGAAAATTTAAAACAAGACAAATAGGCAGATAAATGAGTAGACAGATAAACAGATTATACACACACTCATACATATGTACATTTTTTCCCCATGCAGAAAACTTTAAGTCTCTTTATTGTTTTTCTTTCTTTCCAAAGCTTCTCTATCAAGACCCAAATCCCTGCTGGTTTCCTCTCCATCTACCAAGCTGCTGACATTGGAGGAAGCCCAGGCAAGAACACAAGCTCAGGTTAATTCTCCAATTTTGACTGAAAATAAATATATTGAAGTAGGAGAAGGACCTGCTGCACTTCAGGGAAAATTTCATACCATCATTGACTTCCCACCTGAAAGGTAAAGTTCATTAAATCCTCGTTAATGTGAATTCATGACTATGTGTTCTTTTTATTCTACTTTTATATATTTTTTCTTTTACTTCATTTTATTATTATTTCTTCTAGCATCACTGCTTTCATTTCCTTTATTGCATATTTAAAGGTCGCCCCCTTTCAGTTTTTGCTAATTATTTACAGTGTTGCAGTTAACATACTTGGGTGTACGCGCTAGCACATACCCATGATTATTTCCTTAGGTAAACTCTGATTTTTTTTCCTTCTTTATTTTTGAGAGTATTAAAGATGCCCCCCCCCTTTCCACCCCTTTTGCCCTCTTCCCAGTTCCCACCCACCCCAGGCCTTCACCACCCTAGTGTCTGTGTCCAATGGGCAATGCATATATGTTCTTTGGTTAATCTCTTCCCACCCCCGACTTCCCTCTGAGATTCATATTTTAATATTACTATATTGATTCTGGGCCAGTCCTGGGAAAGACTATTCTTTTTTTTATCCTCACCCAAGGATATTTTTTTTGCATTTATCTTCAGACAGAGTGGGAGGGAGAGAGGAGGGAAGAGAGAGAGAGAAACATCAATGTATCGATGTGAAAGAGACACATCGACTGGCTGCCACCCACAGGACCCCAACGACCCCAACTAGAGCCGGGGATAAACTGCAACCGAAGTACGTGCCCTTAGTGGGAACGGAACTTGGGACTCTCTGGTCCGCAGGCCGACACTCTAACCACTGAGGCAAACCGGCCAGGGCAAGACTGTTCTTTTTTGACTATGGATGATACTTCATGGGGAATGACAGAACAGTTTCTCAAAAAGCTTTGTAACACCATGTCATTTTCAATGGAAGAAAGTCAGTTGTACAGGGAAGATTGTTAGGAAAATGAAACATTTCTACGTAGGGTAAGATTTTCCTCTTTGAGATTCATTGTTCAAAAATTTGTTCAGAAATGAACTACATTGGAATGGCTTGTTCAGAAGTAGGAAATGGATAATGGCTTGACTTCGGTCCCACATTAAGTTTAGAATAGACTGGTGCTTCTGGCAGTGTGAGCTCCCAGCTAGCAACACCAGCAGCACTGGGAAGTTACCAGAAATGCTAATTCTTAGCCCTCACCCCGGACCCACAGAATCAGAGACCCTGGGGGCGGGATCCAGCAGTAAATCTGTCATCCAGCCCTCCAGGCGATTCTGATGTGGCTGGACTTTGAGAACCACTACAGTTGACTCAGTGTCCCTTCCAGTTCTGAAATTCTGTTTCTCTAAAGAAATGATAATAGCATGGTTTTTTATATTTTTTAACTAAGATGTTGTAGGAAGACTAATATGTGTAAATTAATTTTGGTATCTCTGTTACTCCTTTGGCTATTACACGTGAACGTCTAGATTTCAATTCCCTGGGCTGGGTAGTACTAGTGAAACTTGAGAATTGATCCTTTCCATTTTTTAGTATACAGTACTTCTAACCTCCTTTCACTTCCCAGGACTAGAAGTGTCCTGACCACAGAAAGCTAGAACATACTGTTACTTTCTTATTCTGAATTTGTCTTTACTGTCTTGAATTTAATTTTAGTTTCATAATATTCTAAAAAATTTCTCTATAGGGTAGTAATTGAGAAAGTAGATACTTCAATACAGATAGACCTGCTTCTAGGAACCCTGACTCCATTATCAACTAGTTTATAACATTGAGAAGTTGACTAGATTCTTAGTGTTGTACTTTCCTTAGTTGTAAAATAAGAATGATAGTCCCTAATTCGTGGATATATATCATTTAAGTGAGATATTACATATAAGGCAGTTAGCACAGTGCCTGGCATTCAATATGAGTTAGTTATTATTCTTAATACTTTTCTTCATTTTTGGCTTAATTCGTTTTAGTCACACCAAGAATCATTTTCATTAACTCTATTTTTGGAGTTTTACTATCTCCTGCTCCCAAATATGTTTTACTCTCACTTATTTTCCAGATTGTGAAGTTAGATCTAAATATGACAATCTGTGTAAAAATTACTTTTGCGAAACGAATTATTAGTATTAAAATCCACAGTTAATTTCCATGTCATGCTTTAGCTGTGCAGTTCAGCTGCATGGACCGGGGAGGTCGGGGGGCTGTGTTGGCTGTACTGTTCAGCTCTTTCCATCATTTGTTCATTTTCTATAAGTAAAAATAGCCCCTTGGATATCTTCATAGAGAGTATTTTCTCTCTCATAGGAGGAGGCCTCAAAATAAAATGAAAAAGTCTCCTGTGGGCAGCTGGCGTTCCTTTTTCAACTTGGGGAAATCGTCATCCGTTTCCAAGCGGAAGCTGCAGCGTAATGAGAGTGAGCCTTCGGAGATGAAAGCCATGGCTCTGAAAGGTCAGTGCCGCCTGTGCCCACGCTGCCCAGGAGCAGTGGGCACGGCCTTCCCCTCCTGCTGTCGTGGCTCTTCTCCCCGAGTCTGTACTGAACACGCTCCGGCAGGGTCTGTCCACAGTGGCGTTGCTCTTTGTGGATTGTCTTCTTTTCCAACTCTTTATCCCCAAATGCACAAATTATATGTAAATATGTAGAATACCTGATTTCTTAGGGAAATCATATGGATTATATGTTTTGTGAACAGCAGTTAAAAATTTGCAACATATTTGTAACATAGTTTGTATATTGTTGATAATAAATAACTGCTGTGGTGTTTAAATTTATCAATGTATATTTTTATAGATATAAAAAAAATGACAAAACCTTGTTTCAATATGCTTTTCAAGTTTATAACTTTTATTACCAAAGAAACTATCTTTTTACTAGATGACTCATTGATGAGAGTATCTCATTGGGTCAAATAAATCTATTTCTGTTTTTGAAATACCACTCTTATTTTTTTCTTAATCCTCACCTGAGGATATTTTTCCATTTATTTTCAGATTGGAAGAGAGAAAGAGAGAGAAACATTGATGTGAGAGAGACACATTGACTGGTTGCCTCCCACACGACCCCGACTAGGGCCAGGGACGAACCTGCAACTCTATGGTCCACAGGCCGATCCTCCAACCGCTGAGTCAGACCTTCCAGGGCAAAATACTACTCTTTTAAAAATAGTTTAAAACCTATGTTCTACTGATACTAATAGCTTCTGAATCTAGGAAGGATTGTGGTGCTTTCTTGTCAGGTAATGTTCAAAATACTATGTTCAGTTCACCTAATCCCACATTTATTCAGTTTGAAATCATGTACTAAGCAGGTGCTAGATATTTTTATGGCAGCCACTGCAGTTAGAAGGAAAATTAAGGCCCTGCTCCTAGCTTCATACTCTTACTTGGGAAGTTATATATGTAACAATGCATTATATAATATGATGCTAAATTGAATATGATTGCCAAAATGTACAACTAATCATTTTTGGAAGTTTATATGTAGAGAAAAACACTACTCCTTTTCACTCCATACGTAACAATGAATAAAACTTCGCACTCTTTGGTTTGGTTGTTCAGGTGGCAGGGCAGAAGGGACCCTCCGTTCGGCGAAGAGTGAAGAGTCTCTTACTTCTCTCCATGCAGCTGATGGTAAGATTGAAAGCATCAGTCACTTATAAAAGAACATAACAATCAAGTATATTTCATAAATATGTGCTTAATAAATAGGCTGTAGACCATCATTTCTTAAGAGTACTAGTATCTGTTTAGTATTTTCCACTGATGTTTTAATATGGTACCAGTCTCTCATTTCTTCATTTCTGACATAATTGCTGTTCAATTTGCATAAAAATAGGTGAAATGGTTTAAATTAATCCTTAATATTTATAAATATCCAATGAAAAATTATATTATTAGTATTTCTTTAGATTTCACAAATAGAACACAATATTGCAAAGTATAAAATTAAGTTTTGCTATTCAGACCAGTAGGCCTTTGTCTTGGAAAAGGCTCACTTAATGTTAAATTTCATATATCAGATCCATTGCAGGTCGTCCTCATTATCTGAAAATAGTTTGTACCAGGAAAAGGCAACTTAGAGTGAATCTGCTGAAAACGGGGAGCAGACTTTAAATAACGCAAAAAAGTTTGTAACTTGAAAAGCAAAACTAAAAAGTTACTAAAATAAGTTTTAACTTCTATCTAGTAAAAGTCGAGTTATAGCTGCAACTGCGTACTGATTCTTAGAATGAACAAAGGACCACTGCAATGTTGACTTGAAGGAAATAGAGCTTTTCTGACAAAATCATGCAGTCACAAGTAGGACAGACATCCTTGACTTCATTTTTGGCTTGTGTGGCAGGATTGTAAAGAAGGCCGTTTTTACAAAAATAATCAAGAGCGACATTGATTTCCTAAGGGCTTTTCCTAATCCGTTGATGTTCACAGCTCTTTTGAAGGATCCTGGATGTCATCATCCTGTCAACCTTCTCATCTTCATTTATTAACTGTTCCAGCGGCCACATCCTTAGTGACCAGTGACTGTGCTGTGATCCAAGAAATCCTCATAGGTCACTCCAGTTGGGTGTCTAACATCTAATGGGTTTTCCAAGATCTTCCATTTTACTTTAGTTCAGAGGATGCTTCACAAAACAATCAAGTGGGCTGGATAGTTGCCAGTATTCAGCGGAAAATAAGATTTGAGTAGGGATTCATTTTACTTGTGACCAGTGCATTAGTAAATGTTTTTTATGTTAAGATAATTTCTGCCTCTTTGCAGTACATTTTCACTATGGCAGTTCTAATCATTGTAATTGAATGTTGGGATAGAGGACTTGTAACAGGTGGATGTTTAGCAATGTTGTAAAATTGTGTGATTTTAAAAATTATCAGTTTTGAGGACTGACTCTGCCTGAGACACTTAGAGCCTACTTTTAAGGGAAAACAATGAAATTACTTTTGTTTAAGTATAAGAAAGGAATCCCTTACTAAATATATGTTGACATTCTATGGGATTGTCGAGATTTTTTTAATTGAGAAGTTTACTTTTTGGAAATGTGGGTGTTAACGAGGATTTTTCCCCACCAAAAACAAGACAAAACCCTCTTTTGGTGCTGTATATCCAAAGTGCTTGATTCTACCTCACAAGTTATATGTGAGGTCAGGGATACAGGAAGACAAAAAGAAATAAAGAATTTGCTTAAAGTCACAACAAAAGTCAGTGTTGGCCTCCTAATAGAACCCAGCAGTTCCGAGTCCTGTTTCCTGTCGGAACCATCAACTGCTGTGTTCTCCTTCTGATTATATCAAGGTGTTTGTTATTTGGCATTGGGTTTGGGAGCTCCCTCTGTGTGCCCCTAGAGACAGTTACCTGGAAGGAAATGAGAAGTAATGTTTTCCTTCCTGTACGTACTAAGTGGGCAACTTCTGGTGTGTGCTCGTGACACTCACGCTTAAATGTTGTTGTCCACTTACCAGGCGATGCCAAGCTGTTCCGACCCAGGAGACCCAGATCCAGCAGTGATGCCCTGAGTGCCTCTTTCAATGGAGAAATGCTGGGGAACCGCTGCAATTCCTATGATAACCTGCCCCACGACAACGAAAGTGAGGAGGAAGTGGGGCTGCTCCATATTCCAGCTCTGGTGTCTCCACATTCAGCTGAGGACGTCGATTTGAGCCCCCCGGACATCGGCGTAGCCAGCCTGGATTTTGATCCCATGTCGTTTCAGTGCAGTCCTCCTAAGGCCGAATCAGAATGTCTGGAGAGCGGTGCTTCCTTCTTAGACTCCATAGGCTACTCCAAGGATAAACCAAGTACAAATAAAAAGGACACGGAAGCAGGTGGTAGCCAGTCTCAGACTCCAGGAAGCACTGCAAGTTCCGAACCTGTGTCTCCTCTGCAGGAGAAACTGAGTCCATTCTTTACCCTGGACCTGAGCCCAAGTGAAGAGAAATCATCTAAACCATCCTCATTCACTGAAAAGGTTGTCTATGCTTTCTCTCCAAATATTGGACGGAAATTAAGCAAATCACCTTCTATGAACATATCTGAGCCGATTTCAGTGACTCTTCCCCCTCGGGTGTCAGAAGTCATTGGTACAGCCTCCACCACAGCAGCCCAGACTGGACCTCCTGCAACCTGGAACACAAGTGTTGACGAAAGTGCTGACATAAGTAGATCCCCTACCCAGGTAGGAAAGGTGGAGACAAACGAGAGAGAGGCCCAAGAAGGATGTGAGTCTGAAGTGCAGCCCCTGGGCCAGGCGGCCGCTGCAGAAGTAGACTCGCCAGGAAAGGAGGAGCAGTCGGTCTCCAGCAGTCAGAGTCAGGCTGTACCTTCTGGACAGACTCAGACAGGTACCATTTGTTTTCCTCCATTCTTTCTTTAAGCTAAGAGGGATCTTCAGTTCCGTATGCCATCTGTGCCTTTTGAGAGAGAATTCGCTTCACACCTACCCTTTAATCAAAGAGAATGTGTTTCTGGGTGGTGCTGATGGCCCAAAGCCTTAAACTAAAATCAAACAACCTCCCCCTTTTCCCCCAAGGGCCAGTGGTCCTGCTTTCAAGCTCCATAAAGTCCCCTTGTCTCTCTGGACAGTCAGAATTCGTGGATACTTTTTGCACAACTTCGTAGCTCTTGATTCTATTTTCTCTTCTAATAAAATACTTATATTTTAGCCTTACATGTTATCCAGCCAGCCTGCACATCAAATGTAAAAACTATCCTATACCATCTGCAAGCACTTGAAGCTTGTTTTCTAAGCAATGTTTTCTGAGCCAGATGAGGGACCTGCTTTTTGTAGCCATTTCACCTTTTCACTCTCATTTTTTTTCCCAATTTCCCACCAGGAGCAGTTACCCATGACCCCCCTCAGGATTCCATTCCTGTCAGTTCAGTCTCTCTTATCCCACCACCACCGCCTCCGAAAAATGTTGCCCGCCTCTTGGCGCTAGCGTTAGCTGAGTCTGCACAGCAAGCCTCAACTCAGTCGCTGAAGAGACCGGGGACTGCCCAGTCTGCTTACACAAACTATGGAGACGGAGCAGTGGCTGCAGCGGAAGAGAAGCTGCCTAGTTCCTACTCTCATGTTACTCTAGATAAAGGCTGTTTCCCAATGGACAGGCCTGCAGAGCAGTTTCTCCTCCAGAACAGTGCACCTGGGAACTCTAACCAGGTTGTGCCTGACACAGCAGCTGTCGGGGATTGTACCCATTCCAATGCCACAGAATCTGGGCAGCAGCTCCACCAGGTGGGCTTCCAGCCCCATCGAACCTATGCATCTGGGGACCCAGAAAAGGCCAGAGTCACGTCCATTCCCGTAACAGACTCTAAATCCGACGATCACCTAAGTTTCCCTGAAGACCAGTCTGGGAGGACCATTGTGCCCACGGTCTCCTTCGCAGACCAGGACCCGTCTCAACTTCATTTCTACAGTAGCGACCAGCCGCCTTCTTATCTTGGTGCAAGTGCAGATAAGCCCCATAACCCCTCACAACTTGCAGACGAATCTCCCACACCTTCTAATGTGTCTAGGGACAAAATCTACTCTCCTTCTGGGTCCCCCGAAGAGAAGACCAACACAGCCACGCTGGCCTACATGACAGTGACTCCACCAGCGGAAATAAGCACCGGGGAAGCCAGCTGGGATGTGATCGAACCACCCAGCGCAGCTGATTTTGCTGCCGCCACCCTTCAGCGTCCTCACAGAACCAGCCGTCCCCTTCCCCTGCCTCCGTCTCAAAGACCAGCAGAGCAGTTCCCAGTTGTGGGGCAAGTACAAGCGGCCGCCAATATAGGATTAAATAATTCCCACAAGGTAAGAAGGGGAGAAAGTCAGTGAGACGAAACATACTTTTTTCGAAGGTATGGCACTTTTCAGTGGGGTGTGCTAATCGAGTCAGGCACAGTATTTATTTTCAGTCCTCTGGCAGGTTTTCATGAAATATTTTCTATTGGAGGTTGGAATGTGCCTTTTTCCTTGGTGCTGGTCTTTCTGTAAGAAAGGAGCAGTTGCACAATGACTGGTTTACCTGTACCTGCTCCCTGCTCCCTTCCTACAGCTTCTAGGTAGTTTCTTCATAGTCATACAAAGAGATGACAGTCCAGTGAGTCAGACTGGGCTTTAGGCGTCAGGGTTGCAGCAGTTTCTTCCCACCCCGTCACTGACTCATCGTGACTTTGGGCAAGTCGTTTAACCGTCTGCCAGTTACTCACGTCTGCCTGGTAAACGTGCTTTATTCTCAAGACATTTGTAAGATGTTCTGCCTGCAGACTCTAGCGGTGTGAGATCACAGGACTTTTTGTTATTTTCTCAACACTAGCCAGCAGGTTCTATAGTCAAGCACTTGTTTTGATGAGTATTGTATGCAAAGTGCTAAGGTTTCTTCCTAATTTTCTCATATTTTAAAAAAGTGCCACAGGTTTTTTGTGATCACCTTGAACTGAAAGTGCTTCAGTAGCTGGTCGTTAGTGGAAGGCACTATTTCTAGCAGCTGCTTCTCAAGGTGGGCAGGTTTGCCCTACTGGCCTTGCTGCCTCGCCCAGCGTGGGGAGGGGGGCAGGAGAGATGGACTGACCGAGTCGCATGCCACCTTACACAGACCGCTTCATTGTCCTTCCCTACATTTTGGGGGCTTAACTGCTCACTTCAGAAATCTCTCCGAAGAGAATCAGCTCTTTTTGTTTAATAAAGTGTTCTTGTTGTTAATAAGCCTGAGCTAGACAGATAGACGCACATACGTTTTTAAGTTTGGCTGTTATAAACCTGTTTTGGTCTGCACATTAAGATAATGTCATAGGCAACCTCATTTCACATTTAAAACCTATTATCATTAGTTAGAACAGTCCTCAAGATGGTAGTGGCTGTTCCACCATATAGCCACACAGGCAGTTTCCTGGCTGTGGGGACAGGTTGGCCTACTGTCCCGTCCAGTGTGACCACATGGCTTGGGAAATTTCAAGCTGCTACCCAAATAGCCTCAACTTGTGAGTTACAAATTTAATAGTGTTTGATTCCACAGAGGAGAGCATAGAAAACAAACTCATAATATTATAATTTTTCAATAGGTTCAAGGAGCAGTTCCAGTTCCAGAGAGGCCACCTGAACCCAGAGCTGTGGATGACCCTGCTCCTGCCCATGTTAGTGACGGCGGTGCAGTTGCTCAGTGTCTCGTCTCTACCTCCGCTCTCCAGCCAGGGCTTCCTGAAAGGGTGCGGGAAGGTCCCAGGGCCCCACCGCTGCACCTGCGCGCTGAGTCTCTCCCTGTACACCCCTGTGGCTTCACTGCGCCGGTTCCCCCAACCAGGACGATGGAGAGTAAAGTTGCTGCTGCCATTCACTCCAGCAGTGCAGATGTGGCCAGCAGCTCCAGTTACCATCCCTTTGCCACTGCTTCCTCAGCCTCTGTGGATGACATCCTGCCTTTACCACTTCCTGTCCCACCGCCGAAGCATGCGTCTCAGAAAACAACTTACTCCACCTTTGCTAGGCCTGATGTCACTACTGAGCCCTTTGGTCCAGAAAACTGTTTGCATTTCAATATGACTCCAAACTGCCAGTACCGTCCCCAGAGTGTTCCTCCACATCACAACATACTGGAGCAACACCAAGTGTATGGCTCCAGGTCTGAGCCACCAGCCTCCATGGGTCCTCGTTATAACACATACGTGGCCCCAGGAAGAAACGCATCTGGACACCACTCCAAGCCATGTAGCCGGGTTGAGTATGTATCTTCTTTGAGCTCGTCCATTCGGAGTGGTTGTTACCCTGAAGATATCCCACCATACCCTACCATTCGGAGAGTGCAGTCTCTCCACACCCCTCCATCGGCCATGATTCGCTCTGTTCCCATTTCACGGACAGAAGTTCCCCCAGATGATGAACCAGCCTACTGCTCAAGGCCCCTGTATCAGTATAAGCCATATCAGCCCTCCCAGGCCCGCTCGGATTATCACGTAACTCAGCTGCAGCCTTACTTTGAGAATGGTCGGGTCCACTACCGGTACAGCCCATACTCCAGTTCGGGGTCCTATTACAGCCCCGATGGAGCCCTGTGTGACGTGGATGCCTATAGCACCGTCCAGCTGAGGCCCTTTCACCGCCTGCCCCACCGCGATTTTGCTTTCCATAACCCTCGGCTGCAAGGAAAGAACCTGTACAGTTACGCTGGCTTGCCTCCACGTCCCCGGGCCACTGTGACTGGCTATTTCTCTGGTAATGACCATAATGTAGTCAACATGCCTCCAACCGCTGATGTAAAGCACACTTACACCTCATGGGATTTTGAGGACATGGAAAAATACCGCATGCAATCCATCCGGAGAGAGAGCCGGGCTCGGCAGAAGGTGAAGGGGCCTGTGATGTCCCAGTATGATAACATGGCCCCAGTGGTGCAGGATGACCTGGGTGGGATCTACGTTATCCACCTGCGCAGTAAATCAGATCCTGGGAAAACTGGACTTCTCTCAGTGGCAGAGGGAAAGGATGGGCGGCACCCAGGGAAGGCCATCAGTCCCGAGGGAGGTGACCGCTTCTATAGGAAGCACCCAGAGGCAGAGTTTGATAGGGCCCATCACCACGGAGGACATGGCAATGGGCAGCCAGAGAAACCGTCTCTCCCACAGAAGCAGAGCAGTCTCAGGAACAGGAAGCTTCATGACATGGGTTGTAGTCTCCCTGAGCATAGGGCACATCAGGAAGCAAGCCATAGGCAGCTGTGCGAATCGAAAAACGGACCACCTTACTCCCAGGGAGCTGGCCAGTTAGATTATGGGTCCAGAGGGAGTCCAGACGCTTCTGAGCCCATCAGCTACCCTAACTCTGGAGGGAAGTACATGGCAGCAGGGCAGGAGGCTTTGAGACTGAACCACAAAGAGGTAAGGCTCTCCAAGGAGCTGGAGAGGCCTCGAGCGAGACAGCCTCCTGCCCCAGACAAGCACTCCAGAGACTGCTACAAGGAGGAGGAGCAGCTCAGTCAGCCCACAGTCCCACCCCCGAAACCGGAGCGGAGTCATAGCCTGAAGCTCCATCACACCCAGAGCGTGGAGAGGGACCCTGGTGCGCTGCTCCAGTACCAACCCCATGGCAGGCGCCAGGGTGGCGTGGCCGCTGTGTCCCAGTACGACAACCTGCAGGGCTACCACTCTCCGCCCCAGCATCAGCGAGGAGGCTGCGGAGGCGGAGCAGTGGGGGCATTCGTGCCCTCTGGCTTTGCCCACCCACAGAACAGGACATATGCTACAGCTTTGGGTCAGGGGGCCTTCCTGCCCACAGAGCTGTCCTTGCAGCATCCCGAAACACAGGTCCATGCAGAATGAGCCCCGAGAGCAATAGAGATGAAGCAGCCTCTGCTGGACAGTGGACTGTTCTATTTTTTTCAGTAACCAAAAAGATTTAAGAAAAGAAAAAAGCTACAAATCCCCTGACCGCATTTAAAAAAAAAAAGTAAGAAAAATAAATCACCATCTTCTTTCCCTTCCTGTTTCATTACCACCTCTCCCATCTATAGACCATCATTTTTGTCATCAAACAAGATCTGAATGATTGTAAAGCGCTGTGCTGAAAACCCAGTGAAGAACTTTGTCACCGAGCATACTTGCTATTAGAGCTAATTTGTAAGAGCCTGAGGACTGCCTTGACCTGAATTTGAATTTGACTTTGTCCTTTTTAGTATTTGCTGTATAGTTCAGAGCAGTTTACATCTATTTCCTGGGAGGCTTTTGCATTTTCTTTTGCATTCCTGCTGACTTGTTCTGTGGCCGTGTCGCTTGCCCAGACTGACACTCAGTGTTTCTCACGTTATTCTCCCTGTCTTGTGTGTTAAATTTGAACACAGAAAAACTTCTCCCAGATTCTTTGGATAAGTCTACTGAACATTTAGCAAATTATAACTTTAGAAAATAAAGTAATTAAGACTAAGCATTTAATAAAGAGTCATCCTAAAATGTCAAGCCATTTAGATGCAGGCTGAACCAAGTTCTTCACGTCCTTGTTTTCCATAGCTGTTTCTCACAGTTCAGCGAGCAGGCTCAGGTCCCTGTGGAGGAGACTGTTAAGCGGTAGAATCACAGACTCCTCTCAGGTGGAAGCCAGTAACACTGTTAGCGCCAGTGAACTGTGTCAGTGTTTCTAATGTGCTGCCTGCCTTCCGTTATTTTTTTTCTTAATAATATTTGGTAAATTGTAACTCTAGTAAAACATTTCACACCATTTGTTTCCCTAAAGCAACTTTTTTCATTCAAAACAAAACCAAAAAACCCAGCATGGCTTGACTGGATAAATGCACACAATTGATCATGATTACACATTTACACATTAATTTCTGTTTCTAAACCAGACCACAGGTCCTGGGACTTTTTAAAGCAGCTATGTATTACCTGTTAGTGAAACGGCAATAACCGTTTAGATCACAGCCCATTGTCCCCGCTGGAGTTTTGGGCAGTTGCATTTCTGTCCTAGCAACAGCATGCTGTTCGCTCACTGCTTCTGCGATCACAGTCTACTGTAATTGACATCAACACCAGCATTTCAGGTATCGTTCCGATAACTAGACATGTTCAGCATGTTCCACACCAGGACTTTCTCTTGAAAGTTGCATTCCTGATTCGAGTTGGGCTAGACACCTCTAGCCCGATGTAATTCCACTTTCTCAGCTCACCTCAAACCTATGTGCCAGGCTGGCAAGGCAGCCCTGCTTTTTCAGAAGGAGTGTAGATTGTCATTTCATTCCATGACTCTTAGTAACACTTGACTTTTATACATTCACACTAGGGGAATTTCATTCCATTTACTGGATGGTCGCTGCTCTGGCTTTTTAAAACTTGGAATTGACTTTTATGTAGAGCAAAGGAGGAAATCTTTTAAGAGGCTAAATTTATGCTGCTATTATTGCTGTGAATTTGTATAAAGATTAGGAGTCATGCCAGTTCTTTTTTTTTTTTTTAATTTAAAAAAGTGTGATTGCATTTTAAGGGTTTATATTTAGAAAAAGAAATAAAGTTTTAAGAACAACACATTTATTTATATGTGAAAATACTCTATAAGGTTTTCTTTTGTTCCCCCAGAATTGATCAGAGGGATTCAATAAAGATCATGGTAGGAATCCTGAAACACGATATGGGAAAAGCCCGTGGAAATGTCAGCCTTTTCATTAAAAGTGCAGACCCAGCTGGTACATAGTCACAACGTTAGGAAACCTGGTAGGGTACTTCCACCCAGCACACAAACATCGGGTGCTCTATGCAGGAGTTTGGTCTTCGGTGAATACACAGCACTAATTTTATTTTATTTTTTACCTTAACCATGTTTTTATCAAATAGACAACCCATTGCCCTTTGAGATCACATATCCCTGTGCGCTCCACCAGCAGCATGGTGACTAGGAAGAGCTGCATGACAAGGACATACGATGGCTTTAGCAACAGACTTTTTCTCAGTATTTGGTAAATTGTAACCCTGGTGAGACATTTCACACCGTTTGTTTTCCTAAAGCAATATATATATTTTTTTCCATTAAAAAGAAAAAGAACTTAGAAGGATGTGAGAGTCCAGAAGGACATGGCTGAAAAAGTCCTGTCCAGTCTTAATATTTGTGGATTTGTTGTCACATGCATTTACTCCTGAAACTGAAGTCTTTTATAAATACTAAGGTTGATTCTGCAAAGCAGTTACTTTATTAATGTCCTATGGGCTTAGAAATATCAGGTAAATATTTTGATTACAGAATAACAAACTCAAATTTCGGTGTGAATGTGAAACAAGCTGTAGGTACAATCCAGAGTCGTTTCCTGTCATGTATGTCAATACGGCCTTAACTCTGGGTTTTGTTATTTAAGGGACTTTGCCTGTGTCTTTCCCTTTCTAATGTTGTCGGGTAAAAATTGGATGGCAAATCACTGTGAGCCAGGTTACCTCAGTACAGTTCACCTGTGTGACTTCGCAGATAGAGTAATTAAAGATTGTTCCTTTCAGATTGTGACAATGGAGCATTATGATCAAGGAAATGGAGCTGCCTTATGCATTAAACCCATAATTCTATTGGTATTTTTCATAGTCATGTCTTCAGATTTTATCTTTGGCAAAATCCAGATGCCACAGTGCAGTTTGATTGAAATAGATATCCCCCGAATGTCTGGCCAGAGACTTTGCTAACAGCCCCAGAGGTGCCATTCTTTCTTACTCAATTTCATCTGAGCCTTACTGCTTACTGTACGCAGTTTCCTTTTCCAGTGCAATCCCTGGATGGTCCCAAGGGTAGGCCTGCACACTTTTATAATCACAAAGCGTTTCTTAAAGGTTAGGGTCGGGTTGAAAAACTCTAGGACTCACTCTGTAAAGAAGAGGGACCATTAATGTGAACGGGGAGAGAGTGCAGACTGACACGTTCGAAGTGGCAGTAGATGCATACGGTGTCAATGTGGACTCTGCCCCTTAGTTACAAGGGAGCTGCAAAGTACCTGTTCCAGCCCTCCACCACCCATCCAGCACCTTGGCAAAGTATCATCTGAGCAGTGTGTCGAGGAAATGATGAAAGCAAACGTATGTCAGAAAGTTACTCCAAGTGGTTAGAGGCAGGTGCTCTCAGTACCACGTGTCACGGAAATGGCAGGAATGGTACCTCTAACTGTGAGGCAGAGCGGCGGGCACAGCGGCTCTTTTCTGATTAGTACTGTTAGTGTTCAAAGAGTTAAAATGGTTGTTTTCCCGTTTAGATTCTAAGGTAGCAAAACCTGATTTTTCAACCATGACCTGCATGAGAGAAGCATCCTAGGACGTCTTAGACCATGCTTTTGAGTTCTTAATTGTAATTTATATAGTGGTTTTTTTTATGTTTTAATATTTTTTGTGAACTGGTGTAAATTGTTAATGCATATAAGCTTGTGTATTTTTGTAAATAGTTTGTGATTTATTTCTTGATCCATATGTAAATATTTAGAGTCTCATTTCTTTAAAACTCATTTGAAGCCGAGTTGTGGGTTTGGGGCTTTGTTTGCTTCTTTGTTTTGGTTGGGGGTGGGGGGAGAGAAGGGATTTTGTACTGATAATCCAGACGGAGAATTCTCTGGTTTAAAGCAAATGTCCCACTGAAAGCAATTCAAATATCAACAAAATTATTTCAGGTTAAAGCAGACTTCTTTGTGTGTGTTTCCTTTTTAACCTAATATGGACTATCACAAACTAGGCGGGGTAATTGGGGATATTCAGGCCGCAAGATGAGTGTGTGCGTGACGGATTATTGTCCGAATGGTGAGTTATTTGGTAGACGGGGTTCGATGCCTCCTGTCTGTGTCTTTGCCCCAGTCTGCGGTCCGGCCGTGTTTTCCTACGTCAGACAGGTCCTAGGCCTCGGGGCCCCTAACGCCACCGGAACCCTGCGGGCGGGCGGGCGGGCGGGCGGCCCCGGGGAGCCTCGCTGCTGCCCCGGCGCGGCGCCCAGGACCCTGCAAGGGGGATTCTGGTAACACGCACATCCCTCCAGATTCCCGCCGGCACCCGGGCCCGCTGGCTCCTCGGGGGTGCAGGGAAGGCCCTGGTCACCGTGGCAGGCTGCTGTCTGCAAACCCAGAGCCTTCCGCCGGGCCGTGCTGCCGCGGGCCCGCTCCCACGGGGTCCTGCGCCACGGCCCCGGGAAGAGGCGCCGGCTCTTCAGACGACGCTGTCGCAGCCCTAGTGCCTTCCCGGGACGGGCTTCCTTCTAAAATACCAGCGTGTCCCGTTTTGCCAGCAGTAGGGGGAGTTGCCCGTGTGGCACAGATGACCCTGGTGAGCCAGCCGTCTGAGGTGCCCGCACGCCGCCCCCGCCCCGTGAGGTGCCCGCACGCCGCCCCCCGCCCCGTGAGGTGCCCGCACGCCACCCCCCCGCCTGAGGTGCCCGCACGCCGCCCCCCCCGTGAGGTGCCCGCACGCCGACCCCCCCTGCGGTGCCCGCACGCCGACCCCCCCCCCCGTGAGGTGCCCGCACGCCGCCCCCAGACCGGAAGTGAAGACGTAACATCCGCCCCAGGGAACAGGCCGGGCCTGAGCACGTTCCTGCGGACACGCTCGGGTGGGATGAGAGGACCCCCGGGACACTGCCCGCGTCTCCTGTGAAAGTTCCGGGGCGCCCCTTTCCACCGGCACTATTCATCACGTTTCCTTCGTGCTCGGAACACCGGTGCGTGCCTCTTAGAATGCGTGTCCGGGCGGCGGTGACAGCACGGCCCCCGCCGCACCTGCAGCCCCCAGAACCGGGCGGGCTGGCGGCCGGGTGCCCACGCCGCGGGGCGGCGGCCTCTTCAGAAGACGTCGTGAAGTCCAATCTGTATTTTAAGTGTTTTCATGAAAACGTTTCCAGGACAGCCCTGGCCGGTGGCTCAGCGGTGAGAGCGGGCCGCAGAGTCCC